CCCCAACCAGATATCTGGGTGAGGACAGCTACCAAGTGAACTGGACCCAGGGCCTAACAACCCAAGCTGTGAAACAATTGTTAACTAGGATGACAGCCTTTGGCGTAGACAGCATCATTGGGTACTAAGACACTGGCGTCACTATAGCATCATACATGGTTAAGGTGTCCCCTCCCATGTCTTAGCAACCAGCTTAGCCACCAGTCAACCCATACAGCGTCATTGGTTTCTAGGACACAGATAGAGGTTCAGGGGGTGGGCAAACTGGCCAAGTTGTTTGCCCATGCTGTAAACCTCAAATAGCTTGGGTATGGGTCTACCTCATGGACAACCAAACCCGAAAGTCAACCCTATTTGACAAAGTCAATAGACACAGTAGACTCTATCCAATTGTTCGCTTTTCTAGCAGCCATTTTTATATATGGCACTATGGCACCAGTCATTTAGAATAGTTAGGAATTTCCCTGTCAAATTGATGAAACAAAGGTTTGAGGTTTGAGCTATTAGATTTGTAAATTCTAATCCAGAATTGATCAATTTTTGGGCATTGTCACCATATATGAAACATGTTGCCCAGTTTGCCACTATAACGTACCTGAGGATGAGACCGGAAGACGGGGAGGCGTCTCTTGCGGCTCTTCTCCTGCGACCCCTGGAGTTGGGGACAGGAGGACGCAGGGCAACGAGGAGCACGAGTGCCACAGGCTGGAGACAGACACAGTGCAGGAGACTTTTTGTAGAGAGGTCGGCAGGCCAAGGGTCAAGCCGGGCGGGCAGCGTAGGAGCAGACTCAGGAGCCAGCAGTTGTGGTCGAGGGAGCCAAATGTCAGATCCAGCCGGGCAGCGAAGTACAAAATCAGTAGACAAGAGCAAATCCAGAGAACAGGCCGGGGTCAGGGGCTGGCAGCAATCAGAAGAGTAGTGCAGGGCAATCCAAGTCAAGCAGGTCATAAGTGGATAACAGAAGCACAGGTAACAGGCAACACAAGCTGACATGACCATCAGCAATGAGAGGCAGGCAGGCTCGTCCTTATAGGATAGAAGCGAGTTGTTCATACAAGAGAACCTGTCACCAGGGTCGGATTTCTCACAAGGCCAAGCAAGGCCCTGCCTTGGGGCAGCAGGGAGTAGAGGGGCAGCAGAGGTGTGGAATTCCTATCTCCCGATGCCTCAGACATGCACTCCTGGACGCCGGGCGGGTAGTTGTTTTCTACATTTAGCCCTGCTTTGGGCAAGCAGAGCTAAATGTAGAGCGGGGAAGCCGCTGCTTGTTTTGTACAAGTGACCTCGGTGATGTCACCGGGATCGATCACTTGTATGCAACCTGCAGGTCTGCCATTCTCCATGGTGGGGATGGGGGGGGGTTTGGCCGGTAGGGGGGCGCATTGAGGAACCTGGCCTTAGGGCAGCAGAGAGAGTAAATCCGGCCCTGCCTGTCACTTAGTCCACGGCGAGTGTCTTTTTCACGTGGATACAGATTTAAGCACATGTACATCTATTTTGTAAGGAGGAAAATGAAGAGAAAATTAATTTTCCAATCATTTTTCTAAATGCTGCTTTTATATATGTAACGAAACCACAGCAACCCAAAAATCGAATCCTTATCTTTCTGAGTAAAAGGATAACAAATGAATGCAAAATTTCAATCTGAACTCCAGGCAAACAGCTAAACACACATCTGAAACACAAATGTAAAAGTTGATTTACCTGCCAACGGATTAGTATTACAGCCCATCCAGTCCTGGACTTTAGACAGCTCTGCCGCACATTGCCTAAATGCTGAATGGCGTAACGCATGAAGAACAAATGTCATCTAGGGTGCCCAATATGCTGCAGTCTGTCCCTAGACCAAAGAGCAATGAGAACATTGCAACAACCTAGAGCAGCCAATCTGATCCCATTTAATGGAGTGGGATGATTTCACTATCTTACGAAATGTTTCTGTAAACCTGATACAAACATTTTATTGCAGCGCTCAGATGATAGTAAATTGGATATAATTAGCGAATCCAGATCATTATTTGTAGCACCGCTTAGGGAACAAAAAGACATGTCTTGGCTGCGCACATTAGGACTACACGGATGTATACTATTGTTCTGGTAAGGTTGTGCTGCCTCTCAGTGGTCATATGGAAAAATGAACTTCCAGGAGGACAGAACTGGGATTGTCTACATAATTACGTAACCTGATGTAAGAACTTAGGAAAATACCATCACTGCTAATTATTCAGTCATTGGCATACACTGAGTGGGCAGATTATTATGTCCACCTGACATTTGTAGGCAAATGAGCTATAATTTTGCGCTGAAGTTGCTAGAGTGCCAGGTACTGATGGGGGGGTCATAATAATCTGGTATGTGAGTATGTGAGTAATGTGTGGTAAACATTAACAGGGTGTTGTAATTGCATGAGGGCCCCATAAGCGCCCGGTAACCCATCTATGATAACCGTTAGATAAAGTCCTGCAAGATTCAGAGCCAAGTCAAATTCAGTGTGGTCAGTGTGGTTTTATTTATTTACTTTTATTAATTGTATTTTATTTATTTATATGTTTTTCTACTTTATTTATTTATATTTTTGCTTTTTTATTACCTTATTATACTTTTTTTTTTAAATATTTAAATTTTAATGCGAACAGTAGAAGTACCTAAAAATTTGACCTGGCCCAGCCGAGCTCATGACTGGGAAAGGGAGAGGCAGCACACAACAGCCAATCAGGTGTTCTGCAGTTCAAGAAGCATGCTGATAGGAGAAGACAGCAGAGACAAGGTCATCCCTTTCCTTTCATGGGGGTGGGGGTGGAGACCTGTAAGTGAAAATGAAACAGCAGCAGAGAAAGATCAGACCAGACAGTCCTGTGCTGTGTGGCAGAGTTGTGTACATCTCAGGTCTGGATGTACAGAGATACAAATCCTTCAGCAGGTCTAGCAGCTCTCATAGATATATTTAGCAACTTCAGCCGGATGGTCTCCGTCAGCAGTGTCACACCAAGGGGGCCGGATGTAGCCCATTTACTGACAGCTGACATATTCCTCAGTCCCGCCTGAGAGTGAACGACGCTCCGGTTCACGTCGCCGCTTTTTCTAATTATACGCGTGACGATCGCCGCCTGCTGCAACGCGGATGTTTTTCTCCGTCGTCGCCGTCACGTGAACCCCCACAGCTGTTACATGTCACCTTCCAGGGGAACACGTGGTGACTTCGTTCAGCTGCCCGCCTACTCTCTGCCTCGCTCCCTGCCAGGGTACATATCTCAGAGCGCTGCACCAAGCCAGAATAAATGATTAACATGCGGGGGAGGGCCGGGGGCGACACGCAACCCTCAGCATAAGACGACGTCGCCCTTCGCCGCCGGAGTCATGGAACGCCTGTTGGCTTTTGTCTGTCTGTCCGCTGTCATTCCTCTGGGTGAGTCCTCGGCTCCGTGTAACACGGAAAGGAAAAAAGTTCACAAAGAGAAAAATAATCTTTTTTTTTTTTGATGGTTATTTTTAGATGAGATATTGTTTTTTCGGTAACAACTACGAACACCGATATTTTTTTTCCCGGTACTCGCCGATACCGAATACCGATACCGGAAGTCCCATTAAGAGAGCTGGGCGGTGTGTAATGACTCGCCACTCGGCTTCCCGATCAGAAGGAAGCCGTCTCCATGCTCCCTCGTCTCAAGTTGAAGAGGATGCATGGAGCCGAGTTTCTGGCCAATCAGGAAGCCGGGTAATGACACGCTGCCCCGGCTTCCTGATTGGTCGAGAAGTTGGCTAATCAGGAAGCCGGACCCACGTCATTACATGGTGCCCGGCTTCCTGATTGGCCGGGAAGCTGGCTCCATGCTCCCTTGTCACCAGGTGATAAGGAAGCCTCTGAAGTCACCCCTGTACAGCAGTGGTGCTTTTGAAAATTAACACCTATGACTAAAGCTGCTGTGAATGGCAACCAATCAGCTTCTAGCTGTATATATATTTATTTTTCGCATCAGCGCCATCTAGGGGCCCTTTTATAAATGAACCCCTATGACTAAAGCAACTGTGAATGGCAACCAATCAGCTTCTAGGCTTCATATATATATTTCTTATTCTCATCAGCGCCATCTAGGGGCGCTTTTATAAAAGAACCCCTAGGATCGGAGCGGCTGTAAATGGCAACCAATCAGCTTCTAACATTCATATATATATATTTTCTATACTCATCAGCGCCATCTAGGGGCTAACTATATCCTATACTCGTCAGCACCATCTAGGGGTGCTTTTATAAATGAACCCCTATAACCAGAGCAGCTGTGAATGGCAACCAATCGGCTTCTAGCTTTGATATAGATATATTTCTTATTCTCATCAGCGCCATCTAGGGGTGATTTTATAAATGAACCCCTATGAAGAGCAACCAATCAGCTTCTAGCTTTTTTATATATACCTCCTATACTCGGCAGCGCCATCTAGGGGCGCTTTTATAAATGAACTTCCTATACTCGTCAGCGCATTTTATAAATGAACCTCTATGACTGGAGTCAGCTTATATCTTATATATATACACTGAGTGGCCAGATTATTATAACCACCCCATCAGTAGCCTCTAGCAACTTCAGCGCCAAATTATAGATCAATATAGCTAATTTGCCTACAAACGTCAGGTGGTCATAAAAAACTTCTATCTTTCATTTTCAAAGCCCAACTGGACAAGCAGAAGCTAGAAACTGATTGGTTACCATGCACAGATGCTCCAGATTCTGTGTTGCCCCAGTCTCAGTAAATTCCCCATCATTGTTTTGGGTTTAGGATTTTGACCTACTAGTTATAAAAAAATGAGCAGCCATTCTATAAATAGGATGGCCCAGGAAAGAGCTAGAAGGGGGGAGGGATGGGCACTTTTTGGCGTCGGACCTCTCCTCCTTTTTTTTATTAGAAAAAAAAGAACAGTGTCCTTTTAAATAAAATGAAATCCTGCCAGGCTTCCCAGGTAGCTGGTTGGGTTGAGCAATTTTTTTGGGGATCTTGCATCTTTAAAACATTTCATTGCTGGGAGCTGCATCATTGTCAGGACCCTCCCTCCACCCAACACCACTGCACTGTGTTCTCCTCACCGCATCATACCGACACTGCCCAGCCCAGCTCCTCTCTGCACTCCTCACCATGGGCACTCTGATAACATTCACCTGCATCCTCCTCTCCACCCTCATCGCCACAGGTAAGTCATATACATTAGGGGGGCGGCATTTTTTATTTAACTCTATAATGCACGGTCGCCTCTACCTTGAAAAATGATTCCTTTAAAATGTATGACGTCATAAGCCCTGTCTATATGTGTCATGCATGGCTCAGGTACACAGGCATGTTTAGTAAAGCAGTCATGTGTAACCAATAGCAAAAATCCTAATCCCAATTCAGAGCAATAGAGAACCATGAAAGATCATTTCTGATTGGCTGCTGCAGGATACTGATTGCAGATATTTGTCACCTATACAGAGCACTGTAGATCTGCAGCTCTTATCTCCTTGCATATTGCATGTGAAGACATTCCACAACCTTGATACATTATATCCTTTGATGCATAATTCTAGTTGTGAATTGGGAGCTGCATCCTCTTTTTTATTTCCGGGGATACGTTGTATTTGCTGCCTTGAAGCCGTATTATTTTTAGCCCATGCTGAGCGATGGGGATTCTGCTCATGGCTGTTCCCCCTCTGCAGATGTACGGTGCTCTGCATAGGTGACAGGCTGCAGTCTGCTACAGATCCCGGACTGCACCAGTCGCTGCTGGGAAAAGGGAAGGGCTCCCACACCGAACATGAAATGCACGGAGCAAGTTTAGACAGCGGGACAGTCAGAGCTTTATAATTAGAATGCGCTGAATGCTGAGCTTGCATGATGTGTAATGGGATGGAAACGTGCAATAAATATGAAGTCACGTTTAGCAGCCTGCTATGAAATGTGGAGAGAGAGAGAGAGAAAAGAAAAAAGAAGAGAAGAGAGAGAGAGAGAGAGAGAGAGAGAGAGAGAGAGAGAGAGAGAGAGGATGATAGATACAAAAATGGTGGGGAGGGGGGAGAGAATGAGAATAATAGAGATAGATAGATAGATAGAAAGAAGAGAGGGAAGAAAGAAAGAAAGAAGAAAGGGAAGCAAGAAAGAAAAGAAGGGAAAGAGGCAGAAAAGAAAGGAAGAACGGAAGTAAGGGAGAAGGGTAGAAAGAAAGGATGGAAGTAAGAAGAAGGTAATGAAAGAAGGAGGTAGGTAGGGAAGGAAGAAAATAAGGAAAGAAAACAAGAAAGAAAGGAGAGGAAGAGAGGAAAGAAAGAAAATAAAATAATAGAAAAGATAGGGAGGTAGGTGGAAAGAAATAAAGATATGGGGGGGTGATAAATAAATATGGGGAGAGAGAGTAAGAGAGAGAATTATAGTGATAGAGAGAGAGAGAGAGAAGAGAGAGAGAGAGAGCGAGAGAGAGAGATAGAGAGGAGAGAGAGAGAGTAAGAGAGATAATTATAGTGCTATATATAGAGAGAGAGAGAGAGAGAGAGAGAGAGGGGGAGAGATCCCTAATCCTTTAGAAACTACTTTATATAATGCAGTTTACATCATTTTTTAGCCTTTAGATTATATGGATTTTAGGACTCTGCCTACCCTGGCTGCCTATTCTGCTGATTAATGTAGAGATTCCTATCAATGGCCACACCCATTTGTATGACTTTTGCCACAGAGTCATGGTTGTGGTTGGGCATTGCAGGCCAAATCACCCAAGGCCTAATTATGACGCTAGAGTCCGATGTGATGGTCAGTTGTGATGTTAGCACTATTGCACAGCAGGAATGTTCTATATGGCCTTCAGGGATGGGACTTTCCTACAAAGGCTTTTATCCACTAACCTTGAATTATGTGCAGTGAGTCCTTGCTATACATAATGCATTGTCCATTTAACTTTGTGATCAAAGGAAACCAGCTCTGCGTACTTACATAGTTACGTAGTTAGTCAGGTTGAAAAAAGACACTTGTTCATCGAGTTCAACCTATAGAGATACTTAACATTTAATGGCCATTTTCAGTAAGTATGTTATAGAGTCTGGTAAAGTGGACCATTAAAAAGCCATCCTTGGAATCTAGTGCAGAGACTTTGTCTAAAGTAATATGTAGGGATGCACCAATAATGGTACTAGTATCGGTATCGGTGCCGATGCCGATTATTTGGGTGCTTTATTTGGGTGTATTCTAGGCACCAAATGCTTTGATGCCTAGACCGATACTTGAGCTTCCGGTATCAGGAAGCCAGGCAGCGAGTCATTACACTGGCTCCATGCTCCCTCATCACTTGGTATCGGCGGCTACCGAAAAACAAATATCGGAACTCGTACTCAATACTGAAAAACTGGTATCTGTGCATCCCTGGTAATATGATACCATCTGTCTGCATGCAGGAGGAAGCACTTCCTCAGTCTCTTCTCCCTGCATGGGCAGAGTACAGGTACAGGTTAAAAAAAATAACCCAAAATATGTGTGAGCTAAAAATTCAGTGTAGAAAAACTTAAAAAAACGTCCAATCAAACATGTAACTCATTTCCTATTCTTTTTCAGGCCAGGCTATTCATTGCACTGTCTGCAGATCTGAAGGCGGAGACTTTTCTTGTACTGGAGAAGACAAAGACTGTGGAAGAGATTTTGTGTGTGCCTCTACCAGCACAATAACCGTGATGGGTATCGTATATAATTTCTTGTAGACCTCATAGACTGTATACAGCTCTTTTCTGATTCTGACAAACAGTATGAAAGGGTCAGACTACCTGAAATCCCAGGTTTATGCTCCTACTATACCCATTATGAGGGGCTCCCACCATCTCTGTGCTGAGTTCCCGGGTCTGCACATCTGCTGTGCACACTATGATGTGTTCCCACAATCTCTACACTGAGTTACCGTGTCTGTACACCTTCTGTGCCCTTTATGAAGAGGTTACCACCATCCCTACACTGAGTTCCTGGGTGCCCCACACCTGCTAAGACCATTATGAAGGTTTCCATTCCTGTGCTGAGTTCCCGGGTCTACAAACCTGCTGTGCCCATTATGATGGGTTTTCACCTTCCCTGAGCTGAGTTCCTGGGCCTATACACCTGATATGCCCATTATGAGAGTCTCCCACCATCCCTGCACTGAGTTCCTGGATCTGCGCACCTGATATGCCCATTATGAGAGGCTCCCAACATCCCTGAGCTGAGTTCCTGGATCTGCGCACCTGATATGCCCATTAAGAGAGGCTCCCACTATCCCGTGCTGAGGTCCTGGATCTACACCTGCTGTGCCCATTATGAAGGTCTCCCACCATTCCTGTACTGAGTTCCTGGATCTGCGCACCTGATATGCCCATTATGAGAGGCTCCCAACATCCCTGAGCTGAGTTCCTGGATCTGCGCACCTGATATGCCCATTAAGAGAGGCTCCCACTATCCCGTGCTGAGGTCCTGGATCTACACCTGCTGTGCCCATTATGAAGGTCTCCCACCATTCCTGTACTGAGTTCCTGGATCTGCGCACCTGATATGCCCATTAAGAGAGGCTCCCACTATCCCCGTGCTGAGGTCCTGGTTCTATACACCTGCTGTGCCCATTATGATAGGTTCTCATGATCTCTGTGCTGAGTTTGCGGGTCTGTAAACCTGCTGTGCCCGTTATGTGGGGTTACCGCCATTGCTGATAGATATTTATTTGTGTCCATAATACAGAGAATATAATAGGATTTGTTGGGGCACAAACACATAGGCAGGAAAATCCAAGACTCCCAGGTAGACAGAAGCAAAGTCAGTAATCATGGCAGCAAAGTCTCACTGAGAATCTACATATTTCTCCTCTCCTGGAGTATGCTAATCTGCATTTGAGCCCTCACATGTCTGAACACCTCCCCATCTAATCCCAATGTGTGGAGTATAATTTAGTTTCAGACGTTTGTTGATGAGATTGCACTGCTGCATTAACTATTTGGAGGAAAAGTTGTTAATACTAAAATTATTTCCTCACTGAATCTTCATTTCCATGTGCAAATGTTTACATAAACAATCTTGCTTGGATGGATAGATAAAAGGTTGAATTATACACCTTTCCTGGAACAGGTGCTGCTCCAAACTCCTTAACTGCATGTCTGAAGGCTCAGGCACTTGATCACTTGACCTTGTATAAGGCTGGGCACACACCTTACAACCATCGTAAGACTTTTGTCTTGCGATGGTTGTAAGGTACTTAAAAAAACGTACGATCTGCCTATCTTGCATAGGCAGATCGTACTTGCGATGATCGCAAGCCACGCCCCCTGAGGGGCGGGCTTCCGATGACCGCAAAGCTGAACGGGCAGTGTGCGCTTGTGCACACCGGCCCGTCCGGCTTTTATCTTACGAACATGCTACACACCCGCCGAACATCGTACGATGCTCGGCGGGTTTTCAAACATGTTCGTAAGTTTAAAGTCGTGCGACCTTACAGTAGTAGAAGTCGCACGGCTTCCACACACCTTGCGATAATCGTACGATCGCAGGATTTCCCGCGATTATCGTACGATTATCGCAATGTGTGTGGGGACCTTAAGGAAGTTCAGATTTTCAAATTCTGCCCTTCAGAAGATATCACAAGCCTAGTGGCCATCACCATCTTGGAACGGCAATGTCCCTAAGAAAATATAAAGGTGCCTGCAGATTAGAGAGAAAGTTTGCCCAATCAAGGAGGTGTGCCTACAAAGTAATGGAGACAGGGGCAGGGTCTATGCTGGAATTGTCTCTAGGACATGATGGACATCGGATTACTTGAATGTAGGAAGGTGTTCAATGTACTTATTGGCAATGCAGATTTGTGTCTGTATCTTATACTTTAATCTGAAATCCGTCTAAAGAAATATTAACTAAATACATCAGCCAGGGGAGTAAGTAGAAATCACACAGCCCCACAGCAAAATTTTGTAAGGGGCTCTGTGATTTCTAGTTATGCCCCTTGCAGAGCCCACCTGAGACCCCACACAGCCCACCTGAAAGTGACCCTGCAGAGCCCACCATAGACTCTCTATGGTGACCCGTGCAGGGTATCAGGTGGGCTGGTCACACCCCTGCACACCTCTTACCTGTCAGCCCCGATCCGCTGTCAGCCTTCTCCAACCAGGCAGGCCCCGCCTCCTCCGCCAGGCTTGGCCTCTTCCTCCTCCCCCACTGCCGCCGGGCCCCGCCTGCTCCTCCACTGTCCCAGCCGGTGTTCTGTACTCACTGCGCCTGCATGCACGGCAGTCACCGGATGCGACCTCACCAGTCGGAGAACACGACAAGTCGGAGCCTTCGCTAGAACACCAGGCCCCGGTCTCCTCCACCACAAGCTGCTGGCTGTCACTGACTCAGCAGCGGCTGTAAAGAGGATCGCACTGCTGCACTGATCGGGACAGCGGCCCTTTCCTCCTCACAGCCGCCAGTGACAGTCCTGGAGCCAATGCCTTAGCGAGCCAGGCGGCCCGTATGGCATCAGGGGGACCCCGTTGTTCCTCATCCTGGCCAGGCCCCATATCGGCCACCTGGGTCTCTATGGCGATAGTCCCGCCACTAATAAGAGCTATGTGTGTTGTGGAACCACTCATGGTCTCCTTACTGTAGGTTTTCCAGATCTGTGCAGTAATCCAGTGTGAAACTGGAGCTTTCTGTAATAAAGACCGGTCACTGCTGCTCTCACTGCTTGTGCAGGGGTATTAGTCTTGCCTCCGCCCCCTTCTGCAGTTTTCTGCAGGCAGCCTGTAGTAGATGGGGCTTACTATAGATACAAATAGCACTGCCCAGAGTAAGATGGGGCTTACTAGGTCCCTCCCAGAGCCCAGTTTTCTCTACAGGCCATCTACAGTAATGATGTCACTGCTACTTTTAATTATAGCTAATTTCAGGGTTTTACTGCACGCAAAGTGGATTATATCCTTTATCACTTTAAGGATTATATTGCAGTGAAAACGGTTTGTTCAGCTTTAACCTCACGCTTTGTTTTCTGTCATCCTACAGAGGGAATCAGTACAAAATCCTTCTCCCGTACATGTGCAAGGCGAAGCAACTGCGGCGCTTCCGGTAGCATTGTCTTCCAGGGAGGATACTCTAAATCATCCACCACCTGTTGTACCTCTGATTACTGCTCCCCCACCACTCCTGTGTGTAAGTTAACAATAAGATAGCACTAGCTGCCATGAAAAGATAATTTTGGGGTCTTAGATGCACTGAGAGACCTTGGGTTGGTGTTCAGTTTTAGACCATTCCTATCTACCCATTGCATTCTATCTCTAACTATCAATACCAGCTCTCTTAGGTCCTCTTCCATATCAATCAATCTCCTCTTCAGTCTTTCTTTCTTCCTTCTGCCTCTTGGGTTGTCCTCAGAAATCTTCCATGCCATTCTTCTTCCATCCATATCACTTGGCAAAGTCATCTAGCTGGCTTTTAACATCCTATTCTAAAACTGGATTGTCATAGCTGTTGTATAATTCTTCATTTATTTCAGTTACCCTCTATGGCCACCTGACCTATGGCCACATTGTGGTCACCTGACAATCACACCTAAATGAGTTTGTTGGACATCCCATTCCAAGGCAATGACCATTGAAGCTATAACATCCTCCACTCTTCTGGGAAGACTTCCACAACACTGTTGAGGGTGTCGTGGGAATTTGTGTCCTTTTATGAGGTTTGGTCCTGATGTTGGATGAGAAGACCTGGCTTACAACTGGCATTCCAATTCATCACAAAGGTGTTCAATCGGGTGAGGGCTGAGGTCAGGGCTCTGTGCAGAGCACTCAAGTTCCTTCCTACCAAAATCATTAAGCCAAGTCTTTATGAAGCTGGCTTTTGCATAGGGGCAAAGTCATGTTGGAAAATAAACTATTACCACATGGTTGGAAGGGTGAAATTGTCTAAAATGTCTTCTGGAGACATTTAAACTCAACTGGAAGGGGTGTCCCCAGAGTGTCATGTAGTGGTAGGTGTGGTCAGGTGTCTATAAATGTTTGGCTATACAGTAGGGATGCACAGATACCGACACTAGTATTTTGGGGAGTACTTGTACTTGCCCAAATGCTCCGATACTCACCTCCAATACCAGAATTTCTGGTCAGAGGGAGAAGTGCCGAGGGAGCAGGGAGCCAGCTTTCTTTCCGATCACGAAGTCAGGAAGTGGGTTATGACCCGCCTCCCAGCTTCCTGATTGGCTAGGAAGCTGGCTTCACTTGTTGCTAGGTAGCCTGGCTTACTAACCAATCAGGAGGCCGGGCGGCATGTAATGACCCTCCTCCTGATTGGTCAGGAAGCCAGGCTGCCTAGGAACAAGTGAAGCCGGCTTCCTAATCAACTAGGAAGCCGGGAGGCGGGTCATGATGTGCTGCCTGGCTTTCTGATTGGCTAGGAAGCCAGCTGCACTTGTTGGTAAGCAGCCTGGCTTCCTAACCAATCAGGAAGCCGGGAGGCACATCATGACTCGCGTACCGGCCTCCTGATTGGTCAGGAAGCCACGCTACCTAGCAACAAGTGACACCTGCCTCCTAGACAATCAGAAGCCTGGAGGCAGGTCATGACGTGCCGCCTGACTTCCTGATTGGCTAGTAAACCGGCTTCACCTGTTGCTAGGTTAACCAATCAGGAAGCTGGATGGCACCTCATGACCCGCCGCTGATTGGTCAGGACCTTTCGCTAGAACACCGGCTTCACAGGAAATCAGGACGGGCCATGATCCGCCGCCTGACTTCCTGATAATCTGGGCACACGGCACCGGTACCCGGTATTGACTCGGCGAGTCAGAGACTGAATTCAATGACTGACGAAGCCCACATCTGTTGTTCACAGTGCCTCAGGATAGTATTCGCCGTAATGGACTGAGTTGTCACAGCTGCACCTCCCTTGACTCTAGTTGGTGCCATACTAAGGAAACAATAGAGTGCGCCGGAGAAGAAAATAGATGCATTCTTCAGACAGACGTGTACTCAGGTACTTATCACTTTGATTACTGTAACTTCATTTTTTTTTAATACAATGATAAATACTCCATCTCAATACAGTGTGTGCGTAGAAACATGTAGCTGTTATTTTATCTGAGAGATTTTAAAGAAACCATTTGTTGGTCCAAAAAATTTTATTTTATTATAGAATATCTGAAAGAACATGCCAACATGTTTCGTGATGACGTCAGCTTTGTTCTTTATCATTGTACTGTGAGTGTAGCCAGGGCCGGTGCTGCCACTAGGCAAACTAGTCAGCCGCCTAGGGCGCACTCATGCCTATGTGAGTGGTGCAGCCTTGACCACTCACCCCCCCACAGCACCCCTAGTTCCAAAAGCTAAGGCAGGCTGGCTATTTAAAACACCCACTGAGTAGAGGAGCGGAACTGAGAGACAACGTTCTGGCTATTGCTCCCAGCTGCTTACATTCACCTGTCGCCTGTGGAAGCTAGCCGGCAGGAGAACGGAGCCGCTTTAGAGGGGGGCCGGGGGTTTTGCAAGTAGCCGGTCTTGCCTAGGGTGCAAAATAGTCTAGCACCGCCCCTGAGTGCAGGGCGAAGGGGTGGGCATTGCACTCACAGAGAGTGGGTTGAATGACACCTGGCTGCTTTCAATTTAGAAGACTGGTGCCATCTAGTGGCGGAAAATAAATTACAATAGGCATAACGCTGGAGAGGACATAGGTATTGCAGCCTTTTTTTTTAACCACTTCCGGGCCGGCCCGGAAGCTCTCTAGATCTGAGCGGGCGTCTTTAGACGTCCGCTCAGACACGCCCCCTCGCGCTGGGCGTGCGCGAGCGGGAAATAGCCGAAATTTAAAAACAGGCAGATACAAGCGATCCGCCGGCTGTAGAGCCGGCGGATCGCGTGTATGGGGTGCCAATCGGTTCCCCCCCCCCGCCATTGTCGCGCTGATCCCGGGCTCTGCTGGTCAGCTGGTCCCCTGTGTCACGGAATCAGAGGAAGTTCGGTACACGAGCTCCCTCCGGTCCCCTCTCCTCTGAAAGAATGCGGAAGTGGTGTATAATACATCACTTCCGCATTCTTGTGTCACTCTCCAGCTTCAGAAGCTGGAAAGAAGCTGATGGAGCAGATCTGTGCTTCATCAGCTTCTTTTGGGGGGTCATAGGTGACATTAGGGGTCTTGGAGACCCCTGATGTCTCCATAAAGAGGACCTGTCACATATTTTGCTATCACATAGGGGGGTTTTTATTAGCCTCGTATGTGATAGCAATAAAGTTTAGTAAAAAAAAAAAAAAGGAAAAAAAAATGTAAGTTCCCCCCTCCAAAAAATGTAAAGTAACACATAAAAAAGAATAAAAAAACACAATTTTTTTTTTAAGTCCCCACCCATACATACACGCATGCAAACATGCGTCGGGGGCGCATACGTGCAAAAACGACAATTGCGCCCATTACGCCGCACATGTTACATATCGCCGCGAACGTCGCAGTGAGAGCAATAAGTCTAGGGCCATCAATCACTGATAACACTAAACTGATGAGCGGTAAAGGCTTTTAAAGTGTCGCCTATGGCCAATTTTGGGTATGGTAGTTTTCTGCGATTTTGCGGGTGCACGCAATTTTAAAGGTTGACATGTTTGGTGTCTATTTATCTGACGTGACCCGATCTTTTATATTTTACCAAAAAACTGGGTAATAATAAATGTTTCCTAACATAATGTAAAAAAAAACTTTTTTTTTTCAAAATTTTCTTTCATTTTTCCTAATTATAGTAAAATATAAAACCCCAGTGGTGATTAAATACCACCTAAATAAATCTCTATCTGTCCCCAAAAAATGGTAAAACATTCATTTCAGTACAGCGTTGTATGACGGAATAAACTTCAGTCAAAGTACCACACCGCTGAACACTGAAAAATGGCCTGGCCAGGAAGGGGGTCTAAACACCTGGTCTTGAAGTGGTTAAAGCTGACATCACTACAAGTACTACTGTATATACTTTCCAACATTTTCCACCAAAATAAGCGCTGCACTTTATTTTGGCGGAAGTAATTTTTTTTTTTTAATTTACTTATTATAAATAGTTTTCAATCTTAATAAGAACAAGACGAAAAAGCAAAATGATACAACAGTGTGAGGCACAGAGTTTAAATATTTATGTAAAAATAATACAAATGTACATCACAAATTGTTAAAATATGAGTTGGCAATTGAACTTGTCTGAAATTGTTTATTTACTAGCGTCCTCCCATCACCCAAAGCTCAGTATATCGCGAGCTATAACTCGCGGTATACTGAGGCCGCTGCAACCAGGACGGATCCCGACATTACTGAGATCCACCCAGCTGTGTGAGTAACAACTGGCTCTGCCTATCTAGAGGCAGAGACAGCTGTACACGCCTCCTCCCCATCCGTTCCTCTAGTTAGCGCTAAAGGATCGAAGAGGGGAGGGGGGAATCCCTGCGGGGAGCCATGACTGACAGTCACGCTCTCTGCAGGGAGATGATCGAGAAGTGAGCGAGCGACGGTATGTGTTCGCTCACTTCCCGATCTATTGAGCCGACGTGTGACTGTTGCATGGTCACACGTCGGCTCGAAATATAAGGACCAGTGATTTTCACTCACCTCATAGTTCTCCTTTAAGCCCCCAATGTATCAGCAGATTGAATTGTTGTGCTAAATGTTTAAAGTGAATGTATGGTGTTTTGTATGTGTTTTTTCTTTTATATGTTTAGGGATAAAAAAAAATGTACGTGTATATGTATATATATATATATATATTTATTTTTGAATGAAACATTATCCCCTGATAATTTCTTAGTTACCAGTTATCGTCAGCAGGTGGCACAGTCAAGTTCTCCACCGCATATTTTTCGTTCTTTTTCTACTACTGCTATTGCAATCTATTACTAATATTTCCTTAAAGGCACACTAAACTCAGGAGTTAAATCTTAAAAATACAATCAAGTCCTTAACTATAAACAACAATGTATATCATTTGTGTATCACTCGGCTGTAAATCCTCAAATCATCTCTAAATTAGTGCGGACACTGTCCTTCCTTCTGGAGGGTTAAAAGTTTGTTCAATTATACAAGTATTAGTGCAACTTCGGTTTCTCCCCTACGGGTAGCACCCCTGGAGGCTCCCCCACCATATATATATATGTAGTGCTCATCCCCCAAGGAGCCGCTGCTGTAAATGGGTCTTCCTAGTCTGTCTAGGGATTCTAACAGCATGTCTGCCCCAATAGCACTTACCGACCTTCTGTGGTGACAGATAAACGGAGATCCAGGCTGAGGCTAGGTTCACACCTAGGCGATTAAGCTGGTGCGCTGTGTTCGCGCGACTGTGCTTTGAAAACCGCGTGACAACCACCCGAATATAGCTCCTGCACCTTTTTGCGCGACAGGCGATTTCGTCCACGCGACAAACCATAAAGGGTGTGAACAGCCTCAGTTGACTTCAATGCGAATCTGTGTTTTTGCGTGATATCATGCGACTCAATCCGCGCGATAAATCGCCTAGGTGTGAACCTAGCCTTAAGATATGATGCTAAAGAACTTTTGGAGAACTTAGGGAGAGAGGGTCAGGGCTCAGGACCCCCAGGAGAGTGTAGACTCCATCAAACTGTAGAACAAAGTTCTTGCTGCCATCACAGACCTTTAAGCCAATTGTGGCGATCTGTGTTTTGAGTTCTTGGCTATGCAGTACTCGGATCTAACTGTCAAGTTACAGCAGATGATTACTTCTCAGGTTTCCCAAACCTGCTGATGTTACTTTGTCATCTTCATCCTCAGTTTCAGTCACTGGGCCCTCAGACTCAGGTCTCAGTATAAGCACAGGGCTCGACCTCCTAGGCTTCACGCCTAGCTAGAACAGACAGTCAGTGACAGCCTTTCCCCTGGCCAGAGCCCGGGGGTGAAAGAGAACCTCACATGGCCCACCCCAAATATTTATGTCCACTCCCAGCATGCACCACTGGCCATGAACCTCCTAGTAATTGGCCAGGGAGACATAAATATTCATAACAATCTCTTATTGGTTGCTCTGCTCTGTGATAAGGATGCCCCTAGCAGCAGGCAGATGCAAACAATAACTGACTTCTTAGGGGAAACCGAATGAGCATAAACTATAGATCAGCATCAGGCTGATTAAAATCTGACAACAACTAAATTGAAATAAGCCTTCCTGCTTACACATAATGTGTTTTTTTAGTATACTTACCAAAAATATACTTTTTCCAATACCTGGCTGGTTATATGACAAATAGGCTTCTCTTGTTCTCCCAATGTTCTCCAGTGGTGGTACAATAATGTCAGTGCCTCTCTCATGAATGCACTTCGAATGAAGGGCTCCATTGTGATGTTTCTCTCAACCATGGCAGGGCCCCAAAGCTCTTTATTCATAGCATGTCTTCAGGTCACTCTCCCACCAACTCCAGAATCTTCCTGCTGTAATGTGCAGCAACGTTGTCATACACCAGGTCCCGCCATCTTCTTTGCTGATGTGATTGGGAGCCAGTTGTCTCTTATAGGTTCTTGAAGCCGTACCCCTGATGTGGTGCATTATCAGGGGACTGGCTTCAAGAACCAGAAAAAAAAAACTGGCCCACTGATGAAGCACTGCGGGAAATAAGTACTGTGTTCTATATTGCCCCAAAGCTTCCTGAGTATCCAAGGAGGCTGCTGGGGATACATCATTCTCATCTAGACAAGAATGCTGAAAATGAGGGGTCTGTACATTTAAAAAAAATAAAAAAAAAACAATGGTGTGGTGTGTGTGTGTGTGTGTGTGTGTGTGTGGGGGGGCGCATACTAGGAAAGGTGGGTGAGGAGGGTGAGGGTAATCAGGAAATGCTCTTATCTGTACTTCTGGAAGCATTTCTTGTTATGGAAACTGGTAACCCCTGCTGGCTATCATATCACGTATAGAGTGCCCTACGTGGCATAGTTTTATCAACAACCGTGTGACACTAGGGTCTACCCAACTGGATATTCAACTGATATTTTAGGTAGACCCTTACCCTACATAGTAGTTGTGTAAAGAGATTGTGCCCCTTAGATATGTTGCATTTATTCCTGAAAACCTACTCAACGGTTTACATTTCCCTTTGGTCTTCTACAGGAAAGAAGTATGCCAAGATGGCTATGCGGGGATGCGGCACCAAGACATTCTGTGACCTCGGCAGCCAGACTTTTACTTTTGGAGGCGTTAGCTTGAGACGAGAGATCACCTGTACAAGTCACGGTCTCAACCTTCATGCCAACGCATTGCTGATAGCAATAGGGGCTGTGCTTGCACACAGACTAATGCTCTAGGCCCCATTTTCTGATCACCCACAGTATAGTGTGCCACTGTTTTCAACAGAATGCCCTACGTGTACACGCCGGGAGCACAACGTTGGTTGCCGTATGGCGCTTTTGTTGTCTTTTTCTCTGTTTTTGAATGTTCGATACCCTGGTGCATGCATCCAATATCAAACTGCTGCGCATGAAACATGCTTTCATCACAAGTTAGTGGGAATAATGTATATCAAATGGCTGTCACTTGACACTCAAATCTGTCTTTTAGGTTCTTAATCCCTTCAAAAAATGTATGGCACTAATAAGGATTTGTACTTGCCAATGTTCCATCTCAAAATCCTGGGAGGAGGTCAGGCCTGACATATGGGATGAGGTTTGGGGCTATGCCAGACCATTCTTATCTGTTTTCTGTACTGAATTGAGTCACAAAGTTCCATGTAAGTTGCTAAATCTACTTCCTGGGATGAAGTCAAGTTTCATTTATCTGCTTCTTGGGATTAGATTGGGTATCTCAGGAAGGACCTGGTACCACACCTTTCTGCTTTCAATGATGAGGTGGGACCACAACTTTCATTGATAAGGTTGAGGCTTGCCCATTTGCTCCTTGGGATTAGGTTGGGTATCTCAGGAAGGACCTGGTACCACACCTTTCTGCTTTCAGTGATGAGGTTGGACCCTGCCTATTTGCTCCTTGGGATTAGGTTGGGCCACACATTGTTGCTTCCTGGGTTGAATTGGAGTCACACATATTAGCTGTCTAGGATGAGTTTGGGTCAAACCTAACTGCTTTATGGGATGAAGTTGGGCCTTACTTATCTGCTTCCTGGGAGAAGGTTGGGCTTCACTTATCTGAATCAAGGGTGAGGTTGGAACTAGGATGAAGTTTCTCCTCACCTACCTGTTTCCTGGAAGGAGGTTGGGCCTTAACAATCTTCTTTCTAATATGAGGTTTGCCCTCATCTATTGGCTTCAATGATCACCTGATCTGACCTGATCCACCTTTAACTTCACCTAGTTTAAAATAATAAATGCCAGTCCCTATGAGGAACAGATGAGGATAAATTCTGACCAATTTCCCACAATAAACTTTTTTTTAGTAACATTTTATAAATCAGTCATTGAATATCAAACTAAAAAAATGAGGCTGTCCACCTAGGAGCCCAGGGGCTAGGTACAATTATTCAATGCTTTTTATGGCTCCCTTTCCCAGTGATTTCTATTAACATTGCACTTTAAGATATTTATGTTTTAAATAAATAATCAAGTTTATAAAATAAATAATTAAATAAATAAATGGCAAAGAAAACCAGAATTTGTCTGCACAAAATGTAAACCTGTATGGCTGGGTAGTTTAAGACCGTAGTTTGGTATATGTAAAAGGAGAAAAGGGAGACTGATCTGGATTTGGCCTAACTGGAGCAAGATTTAAAAGCCAACAACAGAGGCAAAGAAGTTAACAAAAATTGGGGGCAAATGTCGGACCTGTCAGGGTACCATTCTGGGCCTCTTTATTGCAACAGCATTTGCCAGACTCACAACCCTCTTTATCTAACCGTCAAGCAGTCAAGCCAGCTGATTAATTTATCCCATTCGAGGGCAAAACATTAACTTTGAGCTTCCTTGCCAAACATTGTCTGCAGAGCACTTACTGTATGTCATCGATTTTCAGCTTGGAATCTATCCCGCCTTTTGTCAAAACAACATGTGCCTTTTCATAATCGCTATTATTGTTATGACATTTTCATACCAGATGGTGCACTTTGCCATGAATTTGTATTATTTCCTAAAGTGATATTTCATCATATTTTGAAAACCTTTGTCATTGGGGTGCAGAGGAACAGGAAACACCCTACTTGACACATATACGTACATTTGGATTTGTTGTAGCCATATCGATGGGTATAGCTGTGGTGTTTTTCTAGTACGTCAGAGATTTGATCGGGGGTTGTGCTAATTTGATCAATATTGATATCCATTAATGCGTGTTGGCTTACACCACCTTGAGGCTCCTTATGTCACCTTGCATGTCCTCCCATTCTACCTTGTGCCTGTTCACCTTTTCCCATATACAATTATGTAGGGTTATGTCACTAGACATACTGTAGATAGTATTGTAAAGTCACAATAGTTGTTATTTTACACTGGTCCCCTTAGTGCTGCTCAATGTCATCTTCATGGCTAGAACCTAAAGCTCTCATCACTACAACCTACAGCTCTCATCACTAGAACCTACAGCTATCATCACTAGAATCTACAGCTCTCATCACTAGAACCTACAGCTATCATCACTAGAACATACAGCTCTCATCACTAGAACCTACAGCTCTCATCACTAGAACCTACAGCTATCATCACTAGTACCTACAGCTCTCTTCTTAGTCCTGTAACACCATCGTCCATCGCAATCACAGACTGTCCATTTGCTTAAGTCAGTGTTCACTACGAACTGTCCAAAATTCTTATTCTTCTCACTCATTGTGCTATAGGTAGAAGCAACACAAGTTGTAACAACATGGACAAGCCACGTTAGTTAGGTAGAGCTAGCTTGAGGGGAGTGTTAGTGACTAGGGACAGAGTTAGGAGAATAAACTTGAAGATACAGGGACAGAGTTAGGACGTTCAGGGCTTGTTTGCCTCTTGTCCATTGTAGGACAAGGAGTAGGGTGGCCTGAGGCCCCATGCACACAAGGCATATGATTCTACATACGATCTTGACTAATATGCTAACATTTATAAGTACAATGCAAATGTACCCTATTGGCCATCACAGTTGACATGTAAATATCAATCATGTGTAGTAAGTGGCAAAATTTGCTCCATACGTAGGCCATCGTACGCAGATTTTTCCAATTTTGGTTTACATAGCTTAATTCTGAATAGCAATACGGACTAGGGTGCACAAGCTCATAGAACGCAATGCTGCTGGGTCAAGATCCGTATATATTACAGATTTGAACGTAGGCTATTGTATGCTCATGAACATGAGCCCTTATAGGAGTTAAGATGATGTTAACACAGATTGCAACTAAAAGGTACATAATTATCCAGAAGAAGGGATTTTCCATTGAACAATTCTGTCACCAGTTATAAAGCTTTCAGACAATTTAAAACATTTACTTTGATGGAAATTCACGCAGTAGACATGGTATTTTTTTACATTCCCGAACTGCATATTTATAGCTGTTTGCAGTGATTGTTAAGATTTAGCTGTGGCCATCCGGACGCACACTGAAAAATTCGACCATCACGTAGCTAATAGAATACTCTTTTGGACATGGAAGCACCATGTAGATGGTAAAACTCAACACCTACTTACCATCATCAATATATTTCACCTTTTTTGGACTTCAAAATACTTTTTCATCTTTGGGGGGGTCCATAGCATCCAGCCCTCTTCATGCAAAGTCTGCGGTGTTTGCCGCAGTGATGATATGGGAGGGACGGGAGCTGGAAGACCAAGCGCAGAGACAAAAACACATAGGCAGCCTCGCCCACAGCAATAAAATTCCTAACTCCTTCTCTTTCACCATACAAATAATAATAATAAGTCTTATCAATTTAAGAACCCTTATTTGATCCAAAGAAAGGTAGAGATTAAATCTTAGGAATGGAGTGCTTAATTAAAAAATACAATTTTGGTAAATTTGCTCTTGAGACTTGAAATGGTATTGAAAATTTTGATGAGATACAGATTTAATGATTTTGTTTTTTTTATTTTTGATAGATTGGGTCAGGGCTAGATGGCCTGTTAAAACTGCTATCTAACAGGGTTATTCACAAAAGGGTGAAGAGTTTGGCGAAGGCAGGAGAAGTGAACAATCTAGGACAACATAGCTGATTTGGAAAAATTTTCCAATTCAGTTCACTTTCCAAATCAGCTATGTTGTCCTAGATTGTTCACTTCTCCCGCCTTCTCCAAACTCTTTACCTTTTTTGTGAATAACCCTGTGAGACTCCATTAAAGAGGTTTCTCCAAACTTCCTGTCCTTGCTACAATGGTTACACCAGACAGGAAGTGATGTTAAATCTTCAACAGCAAAATGAACAGGAATACAAGTAGGGGAGCAGAGTAGGGCTGGAGCCAATGTCAGATCTGTGTCACTGTTGCAGGTTTTCCTCCACTTCCGTTGTGCCTATAAAACAGTATACTTTGGGATAGAAAGTAAGGAGAAAATCTTTGTAACAGAGCCGCAGATAGCAATTAAGAACCAACAGAGGTTCTAATCCTTCCCCATACAGTCCAAAATAAAAAAAGTATCTGCGCCTACATTTTAAATAAATTAATTGTTATATCATATCATGTTTCAGGTCAATTAAAAAAAAAGTGCTTTTATTTTTACTAATTGGAATTGTGTTCAGAAAAATAGGAATCATGTTATGTTAAACCGTTAAACATATCTAATAAGACAAAACGCAATAAGGAAGGTTCAGTAACAACTCAGTGGGGTCTATTTATAAGCAATTTGCAGAGCCATTCACCCTGTGTATCTGTGAACATTCGTTCTATGCGAATAGAGGCAAAAATTAACATTCTTAGTATATTGTCTTTTCAGGTTAAATGTAATGTAATGTAATGCCTCATTATGGCCACTAGATGGAGCTGAGGAGCAACAAAAATAAATACTTATTGCCTACGCTCATCAGCTAGTTGCCATAATGTGGTATTACATATACTAAAAATGTCTGTTTCTGCTTCTAATCGCATACAATGAATGTTCTCAGAGATACACAGGGCGAATGGTTCTGCTATTTGTTTATTATTAGAGCCCGCAGTGTCCATTCGGTATTCTTCTTTCATGGATCCTGCTATAGGAAATGACAATCTGACTGGTTAATATAGAGTCTTGCACTTTCAATGCCAACATGGTACTCTATGCCACCTTGAATAACATATACTGATTTTTAAACACGTATTGCATTTTACAAGGAGGGTGAAAAGGCAAGATGGTAAGGAGGGCCCTGCCAGTGAGGGCTTACAATCTCATTTAATCATTTCAATCTCTGATTGACTCAACGTCAGTATTCTTCTCTGCAATCATGACATTATATTCTATTATTTGTCTTTGTTTTTTTCAGAAAAGTTCAATATAGAGATTGTCTAAATAAAAACAAATATAAAACAATGCTGATTTATTGAAATTATTATTATTGTTATTTGTTATTATTATTATTACTACTACTACTATTATTTATATTATGTATTATTATTTGTAAATAATTGTATTATACTGAGGTGTTTAAGAAATATTTCATATTGATATATTGTATATATTATTTATTAGCCAGACATTTCCCGAGTGTATTACTACTTTTTTAAATGCCATTATTATTTCTATTATATTTATTATTTTTATTATTATTACTATTATTATTTTTATTATTATTACTGCCCTGTGTCAAGGTCTATGGTAAAATGTATATTTTGCATTAATCAGTAAAAGGTTACTTAGCAGCACTTGACACTTTACAGGCTTATTATATTATTAACATGTATGACATTAGCACTTACTATTGCTTCATTTCATTATTCTTTTATTATTAACTGCCTGGAGTTCACATTTCTTGTGGGAGTCTGCAGGGTCCCTGTGCTTAGCAATGGCTACCAATGTATGTGTCTTTCTCTGTATTTAGACATAAAGTTTAAAAAAAAAAAAGAAAAAAAAAATGCTACGTTACAAGCATTCCTAGTGCTCAGCCAGGAATCAAAAGTTCACAGTCAGCTCACAGAACAAATACAGGCATCTACTTTGGTTTACTTTCATTACCTCCTCCTTCCCTTCAATGATGGCGGTTGCTGATCTGAGAGACGAGCTGAACTGCTCCATCTGCCTGAATGTGTACGAGGACCCTGTCATGCTGAGATGTGGACACAACTTCTGTTCCACCTGTATAGGAAAGGTGCTGACAGCACAGGAAGGATCTGGAATGTATTCTTGTCCACAATGCAGAATGCAGTTTGAGGAGCGCCCTGCACTACAGAGAAACCTAGTTTTAAGGAACATTGCAGAGCGTTTTCGGTCTACTCATGCGGAGGAGGAACCCAGCGGGGTCTTGTGTACGTACTGCATTAACTCTTTAACACCCGCTGTTAAGACATGCGTCAATTGTGAGGCTTCTCTGTGTGAGGGTCACGTCAAAGTGCACAATAAGTCTTCGGAGCATGTACTGATTGAGCCTACCACTTGCTTGGAGAACAGAAAATGCTCCAAACATAAAAAGATCTTGGAGTATTTTTGTTATGAAGACTCTGTCTGTATCTGTGTGTCCTGTAGATTGGATGGAATACATAAAGGACATCAGGTTGAGCCTATTGAAGAGGCTTTTGAAAAGAAGAGAGAAAAGTGGAGAAATGTTCTTGAGGAGTTGCCTTCACAGAAAGACGAGGCCACAAGTAGGATCCAGACTCTTCTGAGTAACAAGGACAAAATGATCAGGAATGCAGCAAGTACAAAAGAGAAAGTCATGGACATGGTCAAGGAGATCAAGAAAAAGCTGGATGCTCTAGAGGAGAGAATCCTCAACGAGGTTTACAAGCAAGAAGAGGAAACTTCAAACTCCATAACTAAACTCATCCAGAATCTGGAAGTGAACATTGATAGCATTTCAGAAAAGATAACAATGTTTGAGAAGATGTACAGCATGGCGGATCCCTTACGTGTTTTACAAGACCACGGGGTGGACAGAGATAATGAAGCGAAGGACTGTAAGGTCTTGGAGAAAACACAAAGGAAGGACGATGGTATAAATGATTTTCCTGAAAGAATGATTTACGTACAATTATTCAAGAGTTTGTTTAATATTGTAAATGAAGTAAGAGCGGATACATTGCAGACTGACTTAGACCTCATACTAGATGAAGACACAGCTGGAAATAATGTAAATATTTCAAAAGACTTAAAAACTCTCTCTTGGGCAGAAATACAGAATAGTCTTCCTCGGACCCCAAAGAGATTTAGTATTAATCAGGTTTTAAGTAAAAATAGTTTTTCCTCAGGGCAACATTACTGGGAAATGGAGACAAGTAAAACAGGTAACTGGAGGGTAGGGGTAGCTTATGCAAGTATGGACACCAAAGATCGGAGTTCATTTGGAGATAATAAGAAGTCCTGGTGTCTGCGAAGGTCTAATGACAAGTATTCTGTTCTACATGACAAGACTGAGACCGGTTTTGCACAAACTTCTTCCAGCCACAATGTTGGGGTGTATCTGGATTACGAGGATGGCCGTCTGTCGTTTTATGAGCTGTGTGGTTCGGTCAGACACATGCACACCTTTCACACAACTTTCACCGAACCCCTTCATGCCGCTGTTCTAGTATATAAAAGTTTTGTGAAGATCATGAACATGGCGCACTAAAAAACAATCCAAGGGATTATTTCCAGAATGTTATTACAGGTCCGTGAATAAATATTTTGAAAGTATGGCAATTGCCAATGCAGAACAATGTAACAGGTTTAATAAAAGTATATGTATTTGTATTAAGTATTTTACTTAAAGTAAACCTGTTACATTGCTCTGCATTTGCAATTGTTATACTTATAAACTTTTTTTAAAATTTTCGATAGAGCATGGAAGGATAAGAACCCCTGACATTTTTTTTTATTGATCTCTGTATCCTGGTTAGGAAGAATTACCCTCATTATTTGTCACCTAGAGAAAGTGGTGTGAAATCCAAAAGTTTAGAGTTGTTACCAGAAAAAAAAAGAGGGGAAATCTCCTATTTTATAAAGATTTCCTCTCCCTTCCTGTTGTGCTCCTGAGTCCCCAATAGGATGCAGACAGCAAAAAATAAGTTGAGAGGGGTATAACCTTTCCCTACTCTGTCCAAAACAAAAACAAAAGTTTTGCCTATACATAAATTGTAATTTCCCCATCAGCTGATCATTTAAATCTTCCTTTCCTTCTCCTGCCACCCCATCCACCCACCACCCTTAGAGAAAAACCTTGCAGATAGTAAACTCTCATGATCAGGGTCCTTCTAATCCTTTTCTATGGTTTTGCATTGTAATTGTACTGTCTCTCCATATGTTGTAAATCACTGTTGGGGTTATATTAATTCTGAATAATAATAATAATATGACATTTTAGGGATTGGGTTTATATTTACTTATATATTGACACATAGGCACATAAAAGGAATAACTATTTGTAGTACCAGTAAAACCAGGATTATGGAGCCGGAAGAGAGATTTCTAAATTCTGCCAATATGAAAAAAGAACATACATAATGATATGATCCATGACTGTAGGAGAGTCACAGATACAACGTTTATGATGTACAAACCTGTAATAGGCTAATATATACAATATATATACACTGGCTTTCTAATTTTTAAAGTGTATGTCCAGTCAATGGGCTGATCAGAGTCCATAGCCCTGTGTAAGGCCTCATTCACACAGGTGGATGCCAATGGCTGCCAGCAGAGGGAAAGTTGCTTGCACATAGTACAATCGGACAGCAGTGTCAGGTTTTGAACTCTGTACAAATCAATAGCCAGCACCACCGCTGTTCATATGTAGCAGCTCAGCTCTTACCGGACCCGGACACAGACAGTCTGTGTCCATGGTTGACATTTTCGGCCACACACAAACTGGCCGCAGCTAACCTTAGTTTGTATGCGGTCACAGTACAGAGTGCTGATGCATCCAGAGGTGGGGGTTTAGCCTATCCGTTCTCATTTTCTTGTCTGAATGAGGTCTGAACTATGTCTCTGGTGACTCGTAGATGACACGTGGGGCTTTCTATTTATTTCTATGAGGTCTACATTAACCAGTTCAACTCTCCCTCCCCTGTACACCCCCTATGGACCACAGCAAAATTTGCATTACTACTATGGGCCTGTTTATTCAGCAATAACAAAGTAATACATACTCTATATAATCTGTTCTAGGACAAACAACATTTTCTTTTGGTGACATTTTGTTTTTAAAATGATTTGACCTTTTATGTAATCTATAAAAAAAGTAACAGAATTTAACTGTTAGTTTAAAAAATATATATGTTGTTACTTGTTAAAAAAATTATAAATGTTGTTCTATAATTTTTCCTGTTTAAAATGATCCTAAAATGATAATTCTGGTACAAAGAATTAAAAATGTATTTACAAATGAAATAAAGGATTTTCTTTTTAATTTTGCACTTTTTCTGACATCAATGTGACAATGCAACACCAAAAAAAAAGAAGAAAGAAATAAAAAGAAAAAAAAAGATTTAAATATTAATGTTTAGAAAAACAAATAAAAACAAAATCAGCAGGTAATGAATTGTTAAGGAGAAAAGAAAGTTAAAGGAGAACGATGGTCAAACATTAAAATACATAGCCGGGCCAAGCTCCTCCCACATCCCTCTAGATGGACAGCACATTCACCTATCTGCAGGAACTTAGGGAAATTATATGAAAGCTCCGTCCCTCCAGCTCTGTCCCTCCAGCTCTGTCCCTCCAGCACTGTCCCTCCAACATTGTCTAGCAGGATGCAGGAGAAGATCAACTTACCAACCTCATTTACTATTAAAAAGGGAAAAGTTACATTTTAATACACCTAACATGCTGACATGTTTGTGGTTTGTTTCTGTCACAATGACAGAAACAAACCAGAAGGTTTACATGGACTTTAGGGCAGGCATTAAAATGTAAACAGACAGATAATTACTTACAGTATATTTTATCATAAGAGGTAACACCAGCTGTGTTTTTGCTGCAATACTCACCTTCTATCTGGAGCTGTCCCCACAGTAATTATTTTCCACCACTAGATGTCCTCAGTCTTCCAGGATAAATAATGGTCAGCATCATTCAACCCTCTTCCTTTCAGAGCTCTGACTGTCATTCTACCCCCAGCCTGTGATTGGATAGTGAAGGAAGAAGAATCAGGCTGATGAGCTCATCTCTCTGTCACTCTGCTTTCTCTTCCTATCAACATGTTCCTTGTTAGCTCATGAGCACTGCAGCACAATTGAGTAGCTCATTGTGCTCCTTCTCCCATCTGAGCTCTGCTGTACAGGGACTGCAAGAGGCTGATTAGAACTCAGAACTATGTACCTACACTGTCTTAATTAAATAAAATATATTTTATGGTGTATCAATTAATACAGAGCTGCATCAGTTCGTATCTTGTTTTATCTTCTTGGAGTTCAGCTTTCATTTGGGAGTCAGCAGGGTCCTTGTCCTTCCCAACGGCTGCCAATGTCTCTTTGTATCTTTCTCTGTATTAAGACATAAAGTTTAAAAAAAAGAAAAGAAAAAAAAATGTTTTTTACAAGCATTCCTAGTGCTCAGCCAGGAATCGAAAGTCCACAGTCAACTCAAAGAACAAATATAGGCGTCTACTTTAGTTTACTTTATTTCTTCCTCCTTCCCTTCAACAATGGCGGTTGCTGATCTGAGAGACGAGCTGAACTGCTCCGTCTGCCAGAATGTGTACGAAGACCCTGTCATGCTGAGATGTGGACACAACTTCTGTTCCACCTGTATAGGAAAGGTGCTGACAGCACAGGAAGGATCTGGAATGTATTCTTGTCCACAATGCAGAATGCAGTTTGAGGAGCGACCGACACTACAGAGAAACATCGTTTTAAGGAACATTGCAGAGCGTTTTCGGTCTGCTCATCTGGAGGAGCCCACCACCAGCTTGGAGAACAGAAAATGCTCCAAACACAAAAGGATCTTGGAATATTTTTGTTATGAGGACTCTGTCTGTATCTGTGTGTCCTGTAGATTGGATGGAATACATAAAGGACATCAGGTTGAGCCTATTGAAGAGGCTTTTGAAAAGAAGAGAGAAAAGTGGAGAAATGTTCTTGAGGAGTTGTCTTCACAGAAAGACGAGGCCACAAGAAGGATCCAGACTCTTCTGAGTCACAAGGACAAAGTGATGAGGAATGCAGCAAATACAAAAGATAAAGTCATGGACATGTTCAGGAATATTAAGAAAAAGTTGGATGTTCTAGAGGAGAGAATCCTCAACGAGGTTTACAAGCAAGAAGAGGAAACTTCAAACTCCATAACTAAACTCATCCAGAATCTGGAAGTGAACATTGATAGCATTTCAGAAAAGATAACAATGTTTGAGAAGATGTACAGCATGGCGGATCCCTTACGTGTTTTACAAGACCACGGGGTGGACAGAGATAATGAAGCAAAGGACTGTAAGGTCTTGGAGAAAACACAAAGGAAGAACAATGTTGTAAAAGATTTTCATGAAAGAATGATTTACGTACAATTATTCAAGAGTTTGTTTAATATTGTAAATGAAGTAAGAGCGGATACATTGCAGACTGACTTAGACCTCATACTAGACAGAGACACAGCAGGAAATAGTGTAAATATTTCAAAAGACTTAAAAACCGTCTCTTGGGCAGAAATACAGAATAATCTTCCTCGGACTCCAAAGAGATTTCTTATTAATCAGGTTTTAAGTAAAAATAGTTTTTCTTCAGGGCAACATTACTGGGAAATTGAGACAGGTAAAGCAGGTAGCTGGAGGGTAGGGGTAGCTTATGCAAGTATGGACACCAAAATTCAGGGTTCAATTGGAGACAATAAGAAGTCCTGGTGTCTGCAAAGGTGTAATGACAAGTATTCTGTTATGCATGACCAGGACAAGATCAGTTTTACGCAATCTTCTTCCAGCCACAATGTTGGGGTGTATCTGGATTACGAGGGTGGCCGTCTGTCCTTTTATGAGCTATGTGGTTCGGTCAGACACATACACACCTTTCATACAAATTTCACCGAACCCCTTCATGCCGCTTTTCTAGTATATAAAAGCTTTGTGAAGCTTTTATGAACATGGCATACTAAAAAACAATCCAAGGAATTTTTTCCAGAATGTTATCACAGGTCGGGAATAAATATATCAAATATTTCAATTGCCAATGCAGAGCAATGTAACAGGTTTAATTATTGTGTATGTATATAGGTGACACACTTTAAATGGAACTGTTACATTGCTCTGCATTGGCAATTGTCATAATAATAAACTTTATTTTTACGTTTTTGATTGAATAGGAGAGGATTAGAACCCCTGACATATTTTTATTACTCTCTGTATCCCTGACAGGAAGATTTACCCTCATTATTTGTCACCAAGAGAAAGTGTTGGAAAATCCGCAAATTTTGAGTTGTTGCCAGAAGAAAAGGAGAGGGGAAATCCTCTATTTTTTAAAGATTTCCTTTCACTTCCTGTTGCATTACTGAGTCCCTAATAGGATGCAAACAGCACAAAATAAGCTGATAGAGTTTTAACCTTTCCTTACTGTACCCAAAACCAATTTTTTTTTGCCTATTCATAAATTGTAATTGCCCCATCAGCTCATCATTTTAATCTTCCTTTCCTTCTCTTGCCGCCCCATCCACCCACCTGCCCTTAGAGAAAAACCTTGCAGATCGTAAACTCTCACGAGCAGGGTCCTTCTAATTCTTTTCTATGGTAGTGCACTTTAATTGTACTGTCTCCCCATATGTTGTTAAGCGCTGTGCGAACTGTTGGGGTTATATAAATTCGGAATAATATTAATATTAGATTAGGGATTGGGTTTATATCTCCTTTAAGTGAACCTGTTTCTCTGCCCTGCATGGTTCATACGGGTTCCCTTTAAATCATTTTCATTGACACATAGGCCCATAAAGGCAAAAACTATTTGTAGTGCTAGTAAAACCAGGATGATGGAGCAGGAAGAGAGATTTATTACCTTCTGCCAATGGGAAAACAGAAAATATGTAACAATATGATTCCCTGACTGTATGGAGAGTCACAGATACAAAGTTCATGAAGTACAAACCTGTAATAGGCTCATATATACAATATATGTACACTGGCTTTCTAATTTTTAAAGTGGATGTCCATCCAGTCAGTCAATGGGCTAATCAGAGTCCATAGCCCTGTGTAAGGCATCAGGCGGATGCCAATGGCTGCCGGCGGAGGGAAAGTTGCTTGCACACAGTACAGTCAGACAGCAGTGGCGGCTGTCAGGATTTGTACTCTGTACAAATCAATAGCCAGCAGCACCGCTGTTCACATGTAGCAGCTCAGCTCTGACCGGACCCGGACACAGACAGTCTGTGTCCAGGGATGACATTTTCGGCCACACACAAACTAACCACAGCTATCCTTAGTTTGTATGCGGTCACAGTACAGAGTTCTGATGCATCCAGAGGTCGGGTTTAGCCTATCGGCTCTCATTTACTTGTCTGAATGAGGTCTGAACTATGTCTCAGGTGACTTGTAGATGACACGCAGGGCTTTCTATTCACTTCTGGGAGGTCTACATTGACCAGGTCAACTCTTTCCCCTATACACCCCCTATGGACCACAGCAATATTTAAATTTTTACTATGCGCCTGTTTATTTAGCAAAAACAATGTAATACATACTCTATATAATTTGTTCAGGACAAACAAGATTTTCTTTTGGTGACATTGTGTTGCAAAAATGGTTTTACCTTTTACGTTATCTATAAAAAAATGTAACTGAACTAAACTCTTAGTTTAAAAAATATATATTGTTACTGTTTATAAAAATATATACCTGTTATTCTATAATTTTTCATGTTTAAAATAATCCTAACATGATAATTCTGGTACAAAGCATTGCAAATGTATTTACAAATGAAATAAAGGATTTTCTTTTTAATTTTGCACTTATTCTGACATCAATGTGACAATGCAACACCCCCAAAAAAAAAAAATGTTTAAATATTAATGTTTAGAACAACAAATAAAAACAAAATCAACAGGAAATGAATTGTTAAGGAGAAAAAAAAGTTAAAGGAGATCGATGGCTAAACATAAAAATACATAGCTGGGCTAAGCTCCTCCCACATCCCTCTAGATGGACAGCACATTCACCTATCTGCAGGAACGTAGAGAAATGATATGAAATCTCTGTCCCTCCAGCTCTGTCCCTCCAGCATTGTCTAGCAGGATGCAGGAGAAATTTAAATCACCAGCTTCATTTACTATTAAAATAGGGGAAAGTTACATTTAAGGCACTTAAAGTGATATTAAGGGCAAAAATGTTTTTCCCTCCCCCCCATGTAAATGTTAGCACTTACCTTAAATGATGTCTCTTTTTCCGATCTTCCTCTTCTTTCCCCATGTTTTCATGTGTCCCTCCAGCGGTGTGACGTCACTCCGATCCAGCGCTGACTGCTCTGTCTCTCCGATCCAGCGGTGTCTGCAGGCGGGTGCACGCGTCCATAGACTTATCTTGGGTCTCTGCTCGTCTCCCGGCCGAGAATCGGAACTGCACATGCGCCCGCCCCAAGATCCTTTGCGGCCGTACGAGCAGTTCCTGATTCTCGGGGCGGGAGCGAGCAGCGATAACGAGGTAAGTTTAAAATGATTTTAAGCGGTTTTTTTTTACACTTCTTGCCTATATCTACTGCTTGCTAGCAATAGATATAAGCAAAAAAAAACGGAGGGTTTAGTACCCCTTTAACATGCTAAGTTGTTGTTGCTGTCACAATGACAGAAACAAACCAGAGCATTTACATGGACTTTAGGGCAGATAATTATTAACAGCATATTTTATCATAAGAGGTAAAACCAGCTGTATTTTTGCTGCGATACTTACCTTCTATCTGGAGCTGTCCCCACAGTAATTATTTTCCACCATTAGATGTCCTCAGTCTTCCAAGATGAATCATCAGCATCATTCAATCCCCTTCCTTTCAGAGCTCTGACTGTCATTCTACCCCCAGCCTGTGATTTTACAGTGAAGGAGGAAGAAGCCGACTGATGAGCTCATCTCTCTTTCACTCTGCTTTCTCTTCCTATTAACTTGTTCCTTGCTAACACATGAGAACTGCAGCACAATTGAGTAACTCCCTATGATGGGAGTGTTCCTTCTCCCATCTGAGCTCTGCTGAACAGGAACTGCAAGAGGCTGATTCCAACTCAGATCTCGGTACCTACATTGTCTTCATGAAATAAAATATATTTTATGGTGTATCAATGAATACAGAGCTGTATCAGTTTGTATCTTTTTTATCTTCTTGGAGTACAGCTTTCATTTGGGAGTCAGCAGGGTCCTTGTCCTTCCCAACGGCTGCCAATGTCTCTTTGTATCTTTCTCTGTATTAAGACATAAAGTTTAAAAAAAAGAAAAGAAAAAAAAATGTTTTTTACAAGCATTCCTAGTGCTCAGCCAGGAATCGAAAGTCCACAGTCAGCTCACAGAACAAATACAGGCATCTACCTTTGGTTTACTTTCATTCCCTCCCCCTTCCCTTCAATGATGGCGGTTGCTGATCTGAGAGACGAGCTGAGCTGCTCCGTCTGCCAGAATGTGTACGAAGACCCTGTCATCCTGAGATGTGGACACAACTTCTGTTCCACCTGTATAGGAAAGGTGCTGACAGCACAGGAAGGATCTGGAATGTATTCTTGTCCACAATGCAGAATGCAGTTTGAGGAGCGCCCTGTACTATATAGAAACATCCTTTTAAGGAACATTGCAGAGCGTTTTCGGTCTACTCATCTGGAGGAGGAACCCAGTAGAGTCTTGTGTACCTACTGCATTAACTCTTCAACACCCGCTGTTAAGACATGCGTCAATTGTGAGGCTTCTCTGTGTGAGGGTCACGTCAATGTGCACAACAAGTCTTCGGAGCATGTACTGATTGAGCCCACCACGTACTTGAAGAACTTAAAATGCTCCAAACACAAAAAGATCTTGGAGTATTATTGCTATGAGGACTCTGTCTGTATCTGTGTGTCCTGTAGATTGGATGGAATACATAAAGGACATCAGGTTGAGCCTATTGAAGAGGCTTTTGAAAAGAAGAGAGAAAAGTGGAGAAATGTTCTTGAGGAGTTGCCTTCACAGAAAGACGAGGCCACAAGTAGGATCCAGACTCTTCTGAGTCACATGGAAAAAGTGATCAGGAATGCAGCAAGTACAAAAAAGACAGTCATGGACATGTTCAGGGACATCAAGAAAAAGTTGGATGCTCTAGAGGAGAGAATCGTCAACGAGGTTTACAAGCAAGAAGAGGAGGCTTCAAACTCCATAACTAAACTCATCCAGAATCTGGAAGTGAACATTGATAGCATTTCAGAAAAGATAACAATGTTTGAGAAGATGTACAGCATGGCGGATCCCTTACGTGTTTTACAAGACCACGGGGTGGACAGAGATAATGTAGCAAAGGACTGTAAGGTCTTGGAGAAAACACAAAGGAAGGACGACGGTGTAAAAGATTTTCATGAAAGAATGATTTACGTACAATTATTCAAGAGTTTGTTTAATATTGTAAATGAAGTAAGAGCGGATACATTGCAGACTGACTTAGACCTCATACTAGATGAAGACACAGCTGGAAATAGTGTAAATCTTTCAAACGACTTAAAAATTGTCACTTACACAGAAATACAGAATAGTCTCCCTCGGACCCCAAAGAGATTTAGTATTAGTCAGGTTTTAAGTAAAACTAGTTTTTCTTCAGGGCAACATTACTGGGAAATTGAAACAAGTGAAACAGGTAGCTGGAGGGTAGGGGTAGCTTATGCAAGTATGGACATCAAAGATCAGAATCTCATTGGAGACAATAAGAACTCCTGGTGTCTGCGAAGGTTTAATGACAAGTATTTTGTTGTGCATGACGAGGACATGATAAGTTTTACACAATCTTCTTCCAGCCACAATGTTGGGGTGTATCTGGATTACGAGGATGGCCGTTTGTCCTTTTATGAGCTGTGTGATCCGGTCAGACACATACACACTTTTCACACAACTTTCACCGAGCCCCTTCATGCTGCTTTTGCAGTACATAACAGTTATGTGAA